TTCAACATTGGTATTTATTGGCGCGCGAAAGAAATGGATATCAGAGATTTCTTTCGACCAATATAAAATATTATCTCAGCCACATCACGGAAAAGATCTATAAAGTAGAGTTTATGAGTCTGCGACGCTGCGCTCTCCGTGACTTGTGTTAATTTCACATATTTTGTTTTTTGGATTAAATGTCATTTTAACATTGGTATTTAATTTTTATAGTATTGTTATGTTATCGTACGATCCATGTGTTTTTAGTATAAAATTTTAGCTATCCCGTAGTAACGCACGGGCACGCTACCTAGTATATATATATTATATACCCGTTCGTTTCGCTGAAAAAATAAGTCGAAATACTGTTCTGACTGATCCGATTGATTTGTTGTAAGAAAAAAATATTGTTACGGCTGAAAAGATAAGCTGAAAAATACGGATTATAAGAGAAGCGGGGTCAAAACGCCATCAGCAGTACTTATGAGTCGCTGCGCATGGATCGCGCACTGCTGTCTAAGCCGAACTGGTACGGGACGTCGATGTCCCCGCACCTTGTTGCGCAGCCAGGACGTCCTCCCGCGGTGGCGAGTACCCACACGGCCTGGCCGAGCAGAAGCAGCCGTGAGAACTTCACCCATATCTCTGATGATACGTACTCCGTACTAGGTTGTTGTGCTGATTGGTATGGCTAGTTTTTTGAGAGAAAAAAATATTGTTCTGTGACTTATAAGCCAGCAAATAAGCTGGCTTATACAGCCAGCCGAACACCCGGTGTTGTTGATTGATAGTATTGTTGTACGTTGGCAGTATAGATTTTTTTATTGGGTACAACATGACGTATACAACATACACACGCGTGCGTATCCGTACATATGAAAAAAGATGGGAGGCTCTCTAGCCTCCGGTGCATGGAAAATGCACAATACCACCCGTGTACCCTAAAATTTTTGGAAAATTTCAGAAAAAGATGCGACACCAGGGGTAGCGTCCCACTATCACTAGACCACAGGCCCATTCACGGTAGTATAGATTTTTTAAGGCTTGGTTGCAGCAAGTCCATAAAATTAAAAAACGGTAATGCTACGGTTTGGGCCTCAAAAATTCCCACTCCGCCTTGTGTGCTTGCGGCAAGCTCCGCTCCCTGTCCGCCGCTGCCAGCGTCGACCACCTCTGCTTCCTCCGCCCTGGGGCCCTCGTCTGCCTTCGTGATGCCAGGCTCCGCTGCTGGAGTCGTGTCTCCCGCCTGCCCCCTACGCCGGCGTCCTCTTCATCACCTCCTCATGCAGCCGGAGACGGTGACGGCGTCGCTGAGATTGAAAACGGACGAAAAAAATCATGTTCCGACCCGTTCCGTTTTCTATTTTGTTCCGTCTGTTTCTGTATTTGTGAGATCCCATTTCAAAAACGGTAGAGAGTTTTTTCCGTCCGTTTCCATAGGATCCCGTTTTCATCTGGAATTGACTTGTATTTGTTTCATTTTTCATCCCATTTTCAATCTATGCGAGATATGTCTAAAAATTGATATGTTCGTAAACCTACTAATCACCAATTATGTATGTAAACATGCTAAAAAATAGCATGCTTGTGAATATTGGACCGATAACTTCGTACGTGTATATTATTTTGTGACTTTGTTCATATATGCTCGGGAATATTTGATCATGTTATTCTAAATTAGTTTTCCGGCTCTCCGTCCGTATTTGTCTATTTCCGTATATCCCCATCCGTTTTTATTTCCGCTTTTTCCGAACCCGATCCTATTTTCGCTAAAAATATAGAAACATAAACGAAAGAGGAGCTTTTCCACCCGCTTCCGTCCGTTTTAATCCCTAGGCGTCGCGGCGGGGCCATACTTCGTGCCCGCCTCGAGGCTCCTCACGCCTCGGTGCCCCAGCAAAAGAAGCTCGTGGCGACCAAGTTCGTGGTGCTCTTCGTTCCGCTGCCTCCCAGTCCTGATCTGCCCATCGAGGCGGTTATTGAGTTCCTCAGCGCACCTGACATGGTGGTCGCCGCGCCTGGCATGTTGCAAGCGTTGTTTCATGTGTTTCAGAGGTATGTTGCAAGTGTTTCATATGGATGTTGCAAAAGTAGATCGAGATATTGCATATGTTGCAATGGCTATACATGTATGTTGCAGGCGTATGTTCCAAATGTTTCATCTGATTTTTCAGACGTAACTTGCAAGCGTGTTTATCTGGATGTTGCATATATTTCACACATACGTTGTCAGTGTTTTTATCTGAATGTTGCATATGCTTGCAATAGCATTCAAGTGTCTTTCATATGATTTTGCAAGTGTTTCAGATATATCACATCATCATCATCTATAAAAGACGAGTTTTTAGGGGGTTCTTCTTCTATAATAACCGTTCAATCTAGACGTCATACTATATAATCCCTCCATCATCCATAATCTTACATGTAAGATACAAAACTCCTCCGAAACCAAGATTTCTTCTAGACCCTATGATCTTAGAGATTCCTTGCCAGCACACAACTAGATCACGGCACAACACGTCAGCCGCCGAGCAAGCCGTGTCTACACTGGACACTGGACCAAACTTCGCATGTGCACGTCCATGCACCGTATATAAACAATGACTAAGGAGGTGGTATACTCCAAATTCCAGTCGGAGTTGGCTCCACGTGTATACATATATCTCAGAGTACAGATCCATTTTTTCCCCAGTAGTAATAAACCTTCGGTACAAGGGTTTGGTTCAGGACCCAGCGGCGCACGGTTTGGCTAGACAGGGCCGCATGTTGCACCCTCAAGGCCACATAGGTCTGGCCGTGTGGCAGCATGATGTCCAACGAGCAAAGCTTTGTATATAAAAATACAAAACCAAACAGCGAGAAGAGAAAAACAGCTAAAAGAGAAAAAAAAACAAAAATATCCCACTACTTTACTAGAAGACTAATTTATATCTATATCTATATCTAATAATGAAGAGATAAAATTTATGCCACCTCTGAATTTTCGTCTAAACTAATCACCGCTGTCGTGTCCGTGTCTTTTTTTTTTTCGTTTCCGTCTCTATGCCTTCTCCCGCTGCTTTCTCTTTATTTCTTCTCCCACTCGTAGGTTGGGTCCCATATGTGGTCTCAAGAAAAGTGCTGCCCCACCTCCGGGTGATGTCCAGTGACTTTCCTTTGTCGTGATGCCCTTTTTGTGTTTTTAGTTTTTGTTTTTTATTTCTTGATGAAACAACTTTGGTGTTTCTTATAAAGACAAAAAAAACTAATAAATACAAGGGGTCTTGGAAGTTTTGACCCTTACTTAATACACAAATAACTTTATTGCTAACGCCCTGTTCGCTTGAGCTTATTCAAAACTACTTTTTTTAGCTATGGAACAATGTTTTTCTCTCACAACATTTCAGCATAAGCCAAATTTCAGCATCAGCGAAAAGAAGAATAAATTATTATTATGACATGAATAATTAGCTGATGGCCCAAATAATCAAACCAAAAATTAAAATCTGAGCAGTTTGTCTCCTAATCTAATCAAAAGAAAGGTTTCTCTAATCTGTCCGCATATATCGGTGCAAATCTCTAAGCTATCCGAATATACCAGTGAAACTTTCAACGAGGGGTGACATGTGGAAACCGTTTTTAATAAGATATTAAAATTACATAGCTATCTATACCTAATATTAAAGAGACAAATTAAGACGTCGCGGCCGCTGCAATTGTGTAACAAGATGAAGCGAATAGGATTTGATAGTTTTTTACACCCGTTGCAACGCACGGACATATTTACTAGTATTGCAAATATTTCACCTGTATGTTGTAAAAGTAGATCTGGTGTTGCACATGTTGCAACAGGACCCATCTGCTACGGCTGCTGGGGCGCCGCCGAGCGGGTACAGATGGTGGAGGGGGCACAAGCGGTCCCGCACGCGGTCTGGCGGCGTGGGCCCTGTTTGGGTGCGTGAAACGCAGGTGCGAGCGGGGCGTGTTGGCAAGCGCGGGAAACAAAGTGTAGGCGGAGGGCGTCCATCTAGACATCCGAGCGCAAGCAGCGCCGGTAAAAATAAATACAATCTCAAGTTTGTGTGGAAGCAAGTGACGAGGACATGCCTACCATACCAAAAAATTTTTTCGATCTTTCATTGTACAAGCTATCGATAATTAGTATCTCTAGTGCTGTCTGCTGTGCAAATCTCACGGTACAAGCTATCAATAATTAGTATCTTTGGTGCAGTGCAAATATTCGGTAAAAGCAACAATAATTGTGAGTTTGGACGCCAGGCAAAAAGTATCACATGACTATTGGCCCTGTTCGACATGATTTATTGTTGTTAGGGCTGATTTGTTGTTAGAAAAAAATACTATTTCATGACTGAAAAAGTATGGCTGATTCTAGCTGATAAGCTCAAGCGAACAGGACCATTGTTGACAGAAAAATAATTCTTGTAGTCCTCACATCACTAGCCTAGATTGAAATAATCCAAGACAATATAGCAGGGCACCCCAGAAAAGACTTACGACGATTAACAAACTAGGCAATAACAGCAGCCAGTTGTATTTTCAGGATGTCGATAGTATTCTCTATTCTGCATTAATCCACAGAGCAAGCGCAGCTTCACAGACTCTGCTCCAGAAAAAGGTAAAGTGCTCTAGAAACTGCAGTTTTTTTTACGAAGCTGTTCTATTATGAGCAAAATTAGCAGAACAATTTCAAACAGGCCCCTTACTCCCATCCAGTAGGAAGCGGGCTACATTCGAGCCCAGCACCGACGGGCTTGACGCGCTTCCCATCCAGCCCGCTCAAAGCCCAACTGGCTCCACTCGCCGGTTCTCCGAGACCCAACCCAGCTCCCTCCCAGCTTTCCCCCCTCACACCAAACCCGCATCCGCACTCTTCGCCGCGCCGCCGCTCCTAAACCTCAGAGGTTCAGACCGTCGGACGCAAGCCCCTCGTCTGTCGTCTCTCTCGCGCCACCGGCGCCTTTTCGCACGCCGCCACCGAGGGGGCGAAGGAGCGCGCACGCGTGCGACAGAGGGGTAAGATGGGAGGCGGGCGGAAGCGCGGGCGCACGCAGCGCCGCCACTTCAAGCAGGGCCGCGAGAACGTCTGGAAGCACAACCCTCAGCGTCCTCCCGCCGGCGAAGGAGGCGAGGGGCGGGAGGGCAATCCCTCGTGGCAGCCCTTCGCCACCGAGAACCCGGCCTTCGAGGACTACTACAAGGTATTGACGCTTGCTTCATATCACGCCCTGCTTCCTGTTGCGATCTATTGTCCCAAGCTGTCAATTGGTGCGTTGCTAGCTTGTGATGCTAGTCAGATGGTGGTGGGATACCTCGGGGTTGCTCTTCATGTAGGCTCTACCTATGACGCTTTGTTGATGTGGTAGGGCCTGATGTGTTCATTTAAGCTATGATGAGTTTGTTAGTCGCAGATATACGAGTCTACTGCAATTTGTAGTATTAAGCTCTTCTCTTACCGTATGCTCATGGTGAGATTCCTTAGCTTGTTGTACATTTCTTGTAGAATTTTAGCTTTTCAGTTCGATGTATAATTTCGGAAACTTTGGATTGTGATTTTTGCTAATCCTGTTCAATTTGGCACATGCGTTTGTCTTGCAGGAGCAGCAAATTGTTCCTGAGGAAGAGTGGGATAGCTTCATGAGTATGCTCCGGAAGCCATTACCTGCCACTTTTAGGATTAATGCGAGGTAATGCTTCTCTTTCAAGTATGAAGGTGGATACATAAGTTTTGCTCGATTGTTTGTTAAGTTGTTTTGACTAAGCTGAATGAGAAAGCGCTTTGCTTATGAACCAATAGTAGATACCACACTCTTGATTACTGCTGCATCGAAGTGTATGCATTGGGTATGGTACTTTTCCGTGACTATATATTAGCAATAACTCGCACTTCTGCTTTAGATCAACAATCCAACAGTTTCCTGGCTATTCTGGTGTATTTGGTTGTATGTTCAGGTTGTAAGATCATCAATGTGCTGTTAAACTGTGAGAACTATACGTACCACCTTATCCTTCTGAGTCCTGAGATATAAAAGTTGAAAGCGGCCCTGTTGTCTTATGAAATCTTTATTGTTTCCAAGCAAGAATTATTTATTGATTAAAGCTTCCTTACTCTTGAAAGTGTAACCAAATTCACCTGATCTTGTTTCATTATAAAATCAAGTTTGATGTTGTATATGCTGTTTACAAGAATATCGGGCCATTGTTGGTCTGATTCACTCATATAGACAAAACTGCGTTGTTTAATGGACTTTGGATTCAATCCCCACGTTGTCCTAGACCCTTTTCCTCTTATATTTTTATAAAGGATCATGCTATCTCTATAATGGTTTGTTTGCTCTGTTTACATGCTATGGAATATGTACCATGGTTCATCAGCTATTTTGTTGCGCATATTGTTCACCGTGTAACATGCTCATCTTGCAAGAACCTAAACAGGCAACCATGTAGTTCCACAGAGTAATTGTACAAAATACTCTGGTAGTTTTACCAAGATTTTTCCGTACTTTTATGCTTTCCAGCAGTTGAGATTAATTGCTGTCTATTTAGGTGTTTAATTACTCTATTTTAGCAAGCTAAAGTTTTCTTTGTCAGCTGTCAGTTTTTTCAAGATATCTGCTCGCAATTGGAAAACGACTTCAGGAAATCATTAGAAACTGAGGTTGCTTCTAAAACCCATGCATAAGTCCAAGTTAGAGTTAGTGCTTCTGACATTTTCTATTTTTGTCATTGACAGGTCACCGATGAACATGAAGAAGATGCTATTAGGCCTTTGCCTTGGTACCCAGGTAATCTTGCATGGCATTTGAACTTTTCTCGAATGCAGCTGAGGAGAAACCAGGCACTTGAGAGGTAAACACAATAACAGATGCTGTGTGATGTTCATTTTGAGATAATCTTGTCAAGTAGCAGTATGTTATGTATATGGTATATTTTGAGAGAATCTTGTCAAATTGTAGTATGTAGAAATTACTTTGAACTTATTATGTTTTCATGTTGAAGGTCCTTGTAAGAGTTTTGAGGTGCTAACTTAAAATAAGTACATAAACTTTTGTGTTTGCCTCAGATTTGCAGATGCATTGGCTGTGTATTCATATGCAAAATAAGTAATAACTAATGCCATATTGTGATGTAAAGAAAGGTTTTCCTTTTCTTTATTTTTGAAAAAATGATTTTGTTGAAAACTATTGTTGTGCGTAATAGTTCCTGTCACTGCAATATTCATGTTGGTCATTTTAATATTCCAGTGAGATAATTGTTTGTTCAACATTGACTTTTTTATCACTTAGTTTTCATGAATTCTTGAAGCGAGAGAATGAAGTTGGCAACATAACTAGGCAAGAGGCTGTCAGTATGGTAGGTACCTGATTCTTTTTTTCAGGGATGTGCTGTACTATTTATGTATTATTATACATATCTTGGGTCAATCTTGTTTCAATGGTATGTATTGTTGCAGGTTCCACCACTGTTTCTGAATGTGCAACCTGATCATCATATTCTTGACAGTATGTTATCTATCAACCTTGTTCACAATATTTACATATTGTGTAGTTTAAGTAACAGCCTGTTACTCATGTACTGTCTGTTTGTCTAATGGCTACCTTTTCCAGTTTGTGAGGTTTTCAGCTAACAAGTTTGTGCAATAGTTATGTACATGTTTAAAATTACTGATATTTTTCTGCACATGAGTAAACACGTCTAAAGGAAAAGAGAAAAATGATTACCATTCTAGTTACACCTTGTGTCTGACTACCCATAGACTAGCTGGATCTCTCATTGAAGCTGAAACTTTCTGTGCTTGACTTTTAGCCTTTATCTTGAACTTAATCAAGGGCAAACAGTTTCTACTTGGTCATAGTATTCATCTTTTATCTTGAGACTGGTGATTTCTCTAACCATGGTCTCATTTTTATTATCTTATTATGCAGTGTGTGCTGCTCCAGGATCTAAAACTTTCCAGTTACTTGAGATGATTCACCAGTCAACGAAGCCTGGAATGCTTCCAAATGCCCTGGTGTGTTTCAATATATATCACATGTAACTGATGTACTTACAAGTTTTTTTGGGTTCCTATTGGTTTTCAGAAAGGTATTGATTGCGTCATTAGTTATCTTACCTGATGCTTCCCCCATATAATCAGGTGGTAGCTAATGATGTTGATGTGCAAAGATGCAATCTTCTTATTCACCAGACCAAGAGAATGTGTACAGCTAACCTGATTGTGACAAATCATGAAGCACAAAACTTTCCTGGTTGTAATCTTGCAAAGTTCTCTTCAGAAGTGTGTATGGATGAGGCAAAGCTGCAGAGGTTGGAGTTTGACCGCGTTCTTTGTGATGTGCCTTGTAGTGGTGATGGGACTGTCCGTAAGGCTCCTGATATGTGGAGGAAGTGGTGAATACTGATTCATTTGTTCATTTTGTTACTGTGTTCACTTAGATTCTTATCAATTGGATTGACTATTCAGGAATGCTGGTATGGGGAACGGACTTCATCGCCTGCAAGTGGAGATTGCTATGCGTGGTAAGGATTAAAACATGTTTGGAGCATTACCTGATTCATAACTCTTCAGTTGGTTCATTATGTTAGAATTTTCTTTTTTGAAATGCTTTAAACATTTACCTTTGCAGTGTTCAGCTGTTGATCTTCTTGCACAAGTGAACTGTTGTCATCATTCTTTGATTATGATTTAGGTCCTTGCAGTTGTGGCTCTCCATTAAATCTTTCATGAATTTGATTGCATTGCCAGTTTGATAGCTTATTACTCCTTCAGAACTTGCAAATCTCTTTATATATTTACTCTTTATATATAGGATAACAATACATAAGCATAAAATTCGGTTTGTTTCATATCAATCATGTATTGTGGAAACTGACATGAAATTGATATACGTATATGTTTCTCCAACTATGGCGAGTAAATGCTAAGTTATTTCTGCTATTAGGGATTTGTTACTCATGAGATTAGGTTTGCATATTTGATTATTTGTTGCTTGTTCAGGTATGGGTTTGCTCAAAGTGGGTGGGAGGATGGTTTATTCAACATGTTCAATGAACCCTGTTGAAAATGAAGCTGTTGTTGCTGAGGTATTTTTTATTGTTGATTTCAACTGTAACATTTACTGTATAAATATTTGGTTTGGTCAAATATTCTTCTCTTTTTTGTTTTGGTACTTTCATGGTTGGATTTCTCCTTGAAAAATAGTGCTCAGGGCATATTAAGTCCGTTATCCAAGAAATGCTTGGCCAACATGACATGTTCTTTTTTTATTATATTCATATATTGATTTTGTAATTTACTCATTTATAGCTTCTCAATTTTGTACATTTTTGTAACATCAACAGTGTTCTGCATAACTCCACAGATTTTGCGGAGATGTGGGGACTCTGTTGAACTTCTTGATGTTTCTAATGAGCTACCTGAATTAGCCCGTCGTCCTGGACTTAGCTCCTGGAAGGTTAGTATACTTGTTTCTAAAACCATTCATATTAAATATACTATGATGTCTTGCATGATTAAATTTGGTTTCCTGCGAACCTAGGGTTTGATATCCTTTCTGGAAGCAAACACATTCAGGAAACTTTTGCACATGACACAGAACCTCTTTAGTCATTCAGCAGTGCACAGTGCATCTGCTGGTACATGTGAAGTTGCATTTTCATACTGTACACTTTCTGCTTAACTGTGTTGTTTATTTATTTCCTTTTGTTATCCTCAATAGTTTTTGGCACCTGAAATAAGTAAAGAGGAGACAAGTGTGCTAATTTTTTAACTGAAAAATAAATCTTTGTATTGTGACACTTTCTCAATAATAATCTGTGGGTATCAACATGTGTTTCAACTTGTTTACAGTTTTTTCTCTGTCTATAGTATTTGTTTGCATTGTACACTTTCAGTTGGTATCCACATTTGAGTCACACGATTCTATCTTCTGGGGTCTCCATAAAATTTTATAATTCAAGGTAGTAAAATTTTTATCCTGCTCTCCCCTCAGTAGTTCAAGTATTGCAGGTACGGGATAGAGGGTCTTGGTTTGGTGTGCACGAAGATGTACCTCGCTACAGGAAGCATGTGATATCACCAAGTATGTTTCCCTCTGGGAAAGGCAGCAAAGATAGTCTTACGGTGAGCAACAGCGTTGAGGTCAACACAGATGTAGCTGATGCAGACATGAAGGATCCAACAGACATGGGAGAGGGAGAACAAGAAACAAATATAACAATTGATGACAGCAATAATGGTGACAATCTGAAAACCGAAGAGGGAACCAAAGTTAATTGCGAGTCTGGTGAAGCTACAGCTAGTTATAAAAAGTTAAATTCTACTCCCATCTGTACAGAACATTCAGATTATCCACTGCATCGCTGTATGAGAATTGTTCCTCATGACCAGAACAGTGGGGCATTTTTCATTGCAGTCCTTCATAAACTCTCCCTACTGAACGGTAATATTCTTCCACATTCATTTATCCTGCATATTTTGTTGTTTATTACATCAAGCTCACATACATTACAGTTGTGGTTTCTACTTCCTAGTGCTTAAAATATGGTACATATCGCACCTTTTCAGAGAACCAGGTGGTAGATGGGGTAAAAAGTGAGCAGAATATTTCAAAAGACAAAACTGAGAATCTGGAGAAAGATTTAGGATCAGATAAGGCATCATCTGAAGAAAATATAGTGCATCAGCAAGTGATTGATAACACAAATGTTCTGGATGGAGAACAAAATGGAGACGGGGATAACAAAAGTTCAAAAGATAAGAGCTCAGAGGATTCTAAGGTGAATGTTAATGAGGCGGAAAATGGTCAAGCAGGAACAAGGGATAGGAGGAGGCAGCAGAACCAAGGCAGGTGGAGAGGGTTGACCCTGTGATATTTTTTTAAAGATGAAGTGACAGTCAAAAGTATTGTATCTTTCTATGGTATCACAGATTCATTTCCACTTGAAGGTCATCTCGTGACTAGAAATCCTGATACTAGTCATGTGAAGAGAATATACTATGTGTCAAAATCTGTCCAAGATGTTTTGGAGCTCAACATAAAAGTTGGCGAGCGGCTTAAGATCACCTCACTAGGCCTAAAGATATTTGTAGGTGTCCAATTAATTTTTGTTCTTTATCAACCTAAACTATTATCAGAAGCTGACATTTTTATTTAACATGGTGATTTTATTCTACCTTTGCACTCTCTTTCAGGAAAGGCAGTCTTCAAAGGAAGGCTCGCCATGCACATTTAGGTTGTCATCAGAGGGATTGCCGCTCCTGCTTCCATACATCACAAAACAGATTCTATATGCATCTGCAATTGACTTTCAGCATCTTTTACAGTACAGGACTATTAAGTTTCCTGATTTCGTGGATGCAAAATTTGGTGAGGAAGCTTCAGCTTTGCTTCCAGGTTGCTGTGTCGTAGTTTTACGTGAAGGTAAGAGCAACAATTTTTTGCAGCTTAAAAGAGAACTCAAAACTTGAGCAAACTAAACATCTGATGATGGCTGAAAATCTTTCTTAAAATTTCAGGGCATCAGGATATAGGATCCATAGCTACAGATCCCTCAGCCATTGCCATTGTTTGCTGGAAAGGAAAGACCAATTTGTGTGTCATGGTTTCTCCACTAGATGGGAAGGAACTGCTTGAGAGGATTTCATTGCGTTTTGGGCTCAAAATTCCCAAAGGGGATAAAGAGAAACCCAGCCAGGAGATTGCTGGATCAGACGAGCTGCTTGATTGTGCCACTGAGGCGGACGATCAAGAATGTTTTCCTGAAAGCAAAGCATCTGACATCGAAATTTCAGATGCTAAGGATGCTGAGTAGCTTACTACGTATACTACACAGGAGGTAGCTAGCTGTATCATATGAGTTGGCTATTTGTTTTCAGTCACTTCAGTTGCTAAAGGAGAGATAGTCGCCACATGGGAACGCACATGATATTAGACACAAAACACCTGGTAATCGTGCATGGTGACACCACATCGTGATAATCCTCCCTGCAACTGTAAACTTATAACCTGTTTGTTTTTCTCTGAGAGGTGTATCGCATCGATTTTAAAATTTTGCACTGAACACTGAATCCAGTAAAGTTTGAGACGATAATATTTTTTGAGACATTATGTGTAAGTTCACTCTGAATGCTGAGATCTGAAATTTTCCGAGGCTAACTAGTGATTAGAGGCCTGTTCTTGTGGCGGTATTGTTGAGCACCAGTCACAGAACGAACAAGATGATCGTCCATTATCTCCGTTGTCGTCAAAGGGCAGCACGTGCTTAGAAATGTCTTGCATGACAAACTCAAACTGGCACACTTGATTTTTCGGACGAATTGATCTAATGGTTGGACCTATAATTCTTTTACAGGGACAGGGACATACTGAACTCAGAGCTCTGAAAGTCTGCCACAGGAGTAGTTTGGTCTCCGTATCTGGCGCCGACTGAGGCAAATCTTTGGCACTGAAAGTGAGAAAGTCTGCCACAGGAGTTTCTTGGTCTCCGCATCTGGCGCCGACGGAGGCAAATCGTCTCGGTTTCCCCTCCCAGTAACGCAAGTAACCAGCGCCCATACGTTCAAGTCCAAGCCGGTTGAAGGGAGCACCGAAGAAGAAATTGACGTCGTCATGGAGCACGCGACGCAGACCAGACCAGACCGGAAGATGTCCCACGCTAACAAGCGTGTACTCCCTCTGTCGTAAGATAATTGTCGCTACAATATTCGTGCGAGTCGAACCTTCTTAAATTTGATTGGATTTATAAAAAATATTAATAACATTTGTTTCTTCGAATAAGTTTATTATAAAAATAGTTTCAATGATATATCTAATGATATTAGTTATGTATTATAAGTATCAATATTTTATTGTATATATTTGGTTAAAGTTAAAAGTGTTTGGCTACTCAGGAAGCGAGAACAACATTTATTTTGGGGCAGAGGGAGTAATTCGCACTGATGATCGGAAACAAGAAAATGGTAAGATAACCTACGTTATTATAGGTCGTTTTAGTTTCACATTAAGTTAAATGTCTCTAATCATAATAAGTTTTATAAAAATACACTAACATCTATAACATTAAACATTAAATCAGTTTTACATGAAATGTGTCACGATGGTGAAATGTGTCATGATGGTGTGTTTTGGAACTTGTAGATGTTAAATACTCCATCCGTTCTAAATTATAAGTCGCTTTGACTTTTCTGGTTCATTTATTTTGCTATGTATCTAGACATATTGTTATATCTAGATGCATAGCAAAATATATGCACTAAAAAAGTCAAAGCGACTTATAATTTAGAACAGAGAGAGTAGTTTTTTTAAAAAAATATGATTAAAGTTAGACTGACATATAATTTGTAAAGGAGGAAGTACGACTTTAGCATGGATAAACATCCTATTAATCACATTTCACATGCATGCTTGGTGGATCGCCTAAGCATTTGGATGTGATTAATTTGAAGGTCTTTGGTTTCAGTAACCATTCCATCCAAGGAGGTGGTGCATCATGAGTCTATTTATTAAATTTAGTGTGAATGTGTGTAGGATCTCTGGTTAGCCTAGACGGGGAGTTGAATAGGCCTGTCAAAACAAACACTCAAACTTTCATCAAATTCAACCTGCGACACTACCGCTCTGACCTCGCGGCACTGCCGGACAGCGGCATTGTCGGGCCAAAACAGCAACACTGCCGCACCTACAGACAACTTCGAGTCACAGTTCAAAATCAGTGAATGTAAACTTGAATCGGAGAAATTTCTTAGCTTCCTGCAGGTATGAGATTCACATATCGAGAGCTAGAAGTGGTAGGAACACAACACGCAAGTAGATCGACCACAAACCATAGAAATCACTTCAACAACAATATGAAATGCAAATGATGTAAATCAAGCATAAGGTGACATGATGATTTAACCTGTGGTTCAGCTTGTCACAAAGGCTTGCCTACGTCCACATTGTTGAGGTTAGCCACTAAGGCTAGGGCTTTGCAACCCTTCCTCGTTCTCAAGTCAAGAGACTTAACTCTTGAGATGAGGAGTGAGTTTACTAGCTTCAAGAAGTGGTTACAAACCTCCCAGGACTACCACACAAGTTGGCAAGCTCCACGGACGACGTTCTAGCTGGCTAGGAGCAAAGCTCCAAGAGTAATAAACACAACCGCCGGCCAAAACATGAATCAAGTCCTCTTTTGAGTTGGGGAATCAAATGATCTGCTCTCCAATTGAGTTTGGGACTTTTTTCCCTCAAGGATTGATGGGGAAATCAAGGAAGAATGCTTGGGAGCTCAAGGTCACCAATGGAGGAAAGAGAGAAGGGCACTCTTCTGTTCTTGGACGAGTTGAATGAGTGGGAGAGGGAAGAAAGTCGTTGGGGAGGATGGGGAAAGGTATAAGTACCCCCAGCTCCAATGGTCACTTAAGTTGCGGCAGTGCCGCGGCTCAAGTGCGGCAGTGCCGCACTACGGCAGTGCCTCTCTCCAGGTGCGGCACTGCCACACCAGGCAAGACAGCAAGGGTAAGAGTGAAGTGTTGGCTGCCTTAGCTGAGTAACTGATGATGTATGTGTAAGATTGAGTACTTAGTAGCACATGTTAGCTTAAGCATTGTGCCCCCTTTATAGTACGGCTTTTCTTATTTCAAAATATAAAAGAATTTAAACCTCCTTTGAGTTTGAAGCCATCAACATTTATAATTGAAGGCTCCTCTATTTCATGTAGCATCCTCGAATATAGATTCCCTGCTCGTCATCTCGATAAATCTCATTAGTTCTTTAATTGCATGGTCATTATCACCAAAACCCACAATTAGGGCTTGATTGCACTTTCAATCTCTTCCTTTTTTGGTGATTGATGATAACCCAATTAGAGCTTACAAAAGATATGAAATGAATACTGAGATTTTTGAGCCATGTGTGTAGAGCCTCCCCCTAAATGTGTGAATAGAGAATTGAATTATCAAATTGGTATAAGAAGCCAAGATTCACATTTTAGTAAAAGTGATGTGACTCCCTCTACATCCATGCTCCTGTGGGGTGCTGCATACTGTGTTAGGTATGTAGACATGATGTGAATGATAGTTCATGCACAACATGTTTTGATGTAATAACTGGGTGCGGCACTGCCGCACTTGCTGTAACAGCACAGATAAGAACAGACACCACACAACTTGTAACACATATAAAGATATACATTCTAGCACAATTTTATCACCAGCTACAACACAGATTAATTCATGTCCATATCCCACACATATAAAGTACTTAGGTAGCATTATTACATAAATAGAGTTTTGAATCATCTCTCAAACTCTCAACCTAACGAAGTCTACTCTAAACGGATAAGAACATGAAGCTCCAGCTGCAGCAACCTCCTCTCCATGACGATGAAAAAGTTGTTGACCCCTCTAATTTTCTCCCCCTTTGACATAAAGCACCAAAAAGATAAGAAAAGAAGAAAGATCAACACTCACTCCTCATCTTCTTGGATGGTGTCCCAATCGACATTATCCACACCAGCAGCTCCACTAGCACCTGCAACATCCTCCTCACCACCACCATCATCATCGTCGTCGTCGAAGGAAGAGGACACCACCGCCCTCCCTTGCCGATGGGTGGTAGAAGTGTGACGCTCACGCCTGGTGCTTCTCCTCATGGACTGCAAGGTGGAGATCAACCTTGTGTGAGGGTCAAGCTCTAGCTGCCCTGCTCCTCCTCCTCCTCCTCCGAATCTATGTCGGAGAGGCTAGGGAGGTTGTCAAACCTCGGCGGTGACTGTACTAGAGAAAGAGGTGGCAGTCCTGCATGCTCTCTAGCCTTTCGGTTGGCTTCACGGTTCTCCAACCAATCCTCATATGCGGTCCTCGCTGCATAGGTGCATGTGGTGAAAATGGACTTAATCCATCTTCCAAACTTCTCCATCTTCCCGTCCTTGCGAGACCTAGAGCGAGAGGACTCAGGCACGTCCTCAACTGATGGAGAGCATCTCACTGCCCTGCTAGCACCTGAGGCTTGGGCCTTTTCAATCTTGTAGACGGTGTGGAGACCATCTTTATCAAACATGTAACCGGTGACCCTCTTAATCATGAACATGAGAGAAGGGGCATAGGCTATCCCCTTTCTCCCATCCTCCATGGCATTCCTCAGTTCACGCCACATGAAGCGAGGGATATTGAACCTATCACCTCCGGGGAAAATCTAGCATGCACATTCCTCACATAGCCATTAAGATCTGAAGTCGCTCCATCTTTGGGATTTATTATGTGCCCGATCAAATTGTTCATAATGTAGTAATAGTTCTTCAAGCCAATTGACCTTACCATCTACACTTCTCCCGTCAATCCACATATATGCAATATCACGGATCTTAGCTGTAGCCTCATCATGAATATAAGTGAAGCCCCGCTCCTCCTCTCTAAAACTAAGGATCTGGCTGAAAGTCATAAAGTCAATCCTATAATGCCGTCCCTCAGTCATCCAATGAATCTCATCAGTGTAGATGTCATAGAAGAAGGTGGCATGAAACTGGGCTAGCATTTCCTCATTCTAATTGTATCGAAGCTCATGATATCGGTGGAGGCCAATAGCTCACAAGCCTTGATCATTTTGTTGCACTCGAGCTCATTTTCCCCTTTATCTCCTCCCCCACAACATACCGCATCTTGACAATCTTTGACTTTTTAGAGTTGAAAATCACTGAGGCATAAAAGTTGGAATGAAACTCATTCCAAAACCTGTAGTCCACCCCCAAATCCTTTGGCTGCTCATAAGGATTGTTCTCATGTGCTTCTTCCACCATGTTTACCTTTCCCACATAGTTGAGCACAGGATGAGCAC